GGTGTTTGTGACCTGCTCCCACAGCTGCAGGAAGCTGAACCATTCCACAAGCACTACAGGAAGGGCCACTCCTGTCTGACCCAGCGCTGTGAGACACAGGAAAAGCAGCAATGCAAAAAGAGAGAAGGAAGAACAAAACTCCATGTTTACAATAAGGTTTAAGAAGGAAGGGCACTTTAAAGCTTGAGTAACTTTGTAGTCTCATTCCTTCCACCTATCCCTTTTCCACAGGAAGGCACACACACACACACACACACAGATATCCCCCATGAGCTGCAGGCAGCTCACACTGAGGTCAGACACTCCCTGATGAGGAGTGTCCACCTCAAAGCCAAGCATCCAGGGCTGGCAGAAGAGTTTGGGCAGGCTTCGTTTTAGCTTGAAGTTCTAAACTTCAGTCACCCTCATCTGGATCTGTCCTTTTGGCCTGAAGTGACAGAGTGTACTTAGGACCCTAAACATTTGAAAATGCAGTCAAGTTTATCAGGCAAGGAATTAAATTCTCATCAGCTCCTCCTTGATTTTCATGTTCTACAATTTGAATAGTGGAGCGTTAAGAATTTTTGGGAGTGATAGAGAAGAAGCTGCTGGACCAACATAAGTCTTTTTTCATTCTTTTTTTCCAGATCTTCTATTTTTCTGCAAAAGCTCCATTATGAGTAAACTCAACCTGCCAGCAAATAAATACTCTTAAAAGTTCGTCTTAATTGCACCATGAGCTAGATGCATCACCATTCACCCCATAAATATTGAAGGCCAAGGCTAGTTAACTTTCAAACTAGGCAGGCACTGTTCCCTGGGGCTCAGTGACACAGCACATGAGCCAACACTCCACTGAGCAGAAGAGCTGAAGGGAGAGGGTGATTTTCACAGCAGCTTGAGCAAGAACTCGTAGGTGGCATTGATGATGCCCCAGGACAGGACGGAACGATGGTAATTCAGATGGGCTCCTCTGAAAAGGTGGATCAGCTTCCTATCACGTTCCAGCCAGATCTTAGCAAAGACTTTTGAGAAGGACTGAAATTCACCACCAATTTGAGCTTGCATGCGAGTTTTTACGACGTTCACTGGGAAAAACAAGAAACCTAGCATGGCACCCAGCAGCCCTCCACAGATGAAGTCGTTGATCAAATGGGTGCTGTAGGAGGTTGCTTCAGGCAGACACTGCTTGATAGGTCCCCGCAGCCCAAAGAAGAGGGCATTACTGGGTCCATTTCGGAGCAGAATAGGCACCAATCCCCGGTAATATTCTCTCATCCCATAGGCTTTCAGCACCTTGAATGCCTGGTAAGTGTTTGTAAATTTGTCATGGTGTTTGTAGTCCTGAAGCAAAGTCTGAACTCGCTCAAAAGGTGTGAGAACAGCTTCTGTGGTCCCAGCCAGCACAGCGGCCAGGCTGCGCGTGAGGAGCTCTGGGGCACTCGTATGGCTGTAGAGCAGGGAGGAGAAATCCTCGTAGAGGCCGAACATCAGGGCCAGTGTGGTGGTCTTCTGCATCAGGGGAGGCAGGATGCCCCGGTAGAGATTCCGGATCCCATCCTGCTGCAGCTGGTGCACTGCATCCTTGGTCTTCAGGCCATAGAGCTGCTGGCGGAACAGCACCTTCTGGATGGGGAAGGTGACGGCAATGTTGGTAAAGGCAGCACAGTATCCACAGAGATAGTGCTTCCCAGAGGCAGCCCTCCTGTCCCTGCTGGGATATTCCTTTGGATTTGCTGGAGCTGAGCCTTCTGAAGCCATCATGCTGGTTTTCTCACTGCAGTGTCTCTCAGTTCTCCTTCCCTACATCATAAAAGACAAGGGCAGTAAGCAGAGCTGCAGGGTCATGTTTTCACAGGAGCGGATCCTCGGGACCCACCTGAGCAACACCCAAACATCTGAAGGAGAAAAGCCACCAGGTCTGGGGGGTGTGCTCTGGATTCTCCTGAAGTCTGAGACCTGAAAAAGTGGCAGTTTTCCTCTCTGTACATGTTCAAATTAAAACAGAAATAAACTGGACAGGAAGTTGAGATAGGAACTCCTGCACTGTTACGCAGCAGCTGACAAGGGGAAGCTCCCACAGCAGCCTTCCACATTCGTGCCAAGGAATTCCAACAGGGAATTCCAGCAGGGAAAGTTCTCCTTGCACACTAAAAAAACCACATCACCTGTCAGTGCTGGTGGGGACTGAAATGCTTCTAAGGAAAAGAGAAACAATACAATAAATAGAATACATGCAGTTATGTTACAGGTTCTGATCATTCCACTCTGCCTTTCCCTGAGGCGGAAAACAACAGAAAATTTAAATAACAATTTGTTGTGGTTTAACCTGGCCAGCAACTGAGCCTCTCCCTGCTGCCCTGGGGGGATGATGGGGAGAGCATAGAAGTAAGGAAGAAAGTCGTGGGTTGAGATAAAAATACAGTTAAAAAATACATTTTTTAAAATGCTTTGTAAGGGGAAAAGACCAACAGAGAGAGAGAGAGAGAAAAATAAAACCAAGTCAGAGAAGTGATGCAGATTAACACTTGCTCACCACCACCTGATGTCCACCCAGCCCCTGAATCCCCTGCCAGCCCCCCGCTCAGTTCCACTGCTCTGCTGGGTGTCACAGGGTACAAAGTGTCCCTGGGGTCAGCTGTGCCCTCCAGCCTGCTCGCTGGTGGGAAGGGTGAGAAGCAGAGCTACTCTGGGGCTGTGCAAGGGACCAACATACCCTAGGGCACCAACCTTTACATTAGAAATCCAACCATGGCCCAACACTGCCCAAAGTGAGGAAAAGTAACTCTATCCCAGCCAAAACTAGTACACAACTGTAATCACAGGACTCAACTACAAGATCACTTCCGAGACAGTATTGAAAATTTCTGAAACTTCCAGTTAATTAACATGCAGTCTCATCTGTAGATGAAGTATCTTAAGCCCACACATAATTTAATGTTATGTTTAGAAATTTAGTAAGACTTCGATGAGCTTGAATAGATCTGAGGTCCTGAAGGACATGTACACACAGACAGTTCTGCCAGATGAAGCAGACAAGCACTGAAGTAATCATTACCAGGCAACAGGTGCTCACCATTTACAACAGGATTAGTTACTCAACAACTACAAACAGCTGTTTTTGCCACTGACCTGAATCCTGACTTCCATTACAGTACAGTTCAAGTTAGGTCAGTAACAAGCAAATGAGGCTGGTGGAGGCTTGTGAACCTCAGACACTTCTTGCCAGCAACACATGTGAGATTTCCACTATTTCAAACGCGTGTTTGGGGCAAACCCCCATGCCTGGCACCAGGAACCACACCCTGAGGCACCTCTGTGGGCTGGGATGGGCACGTGGCAGAGGCTGCACAGGAACAACCAGGACTGCTCTGACCAACTGCAGAACTCATTTTAAAACAGAGCACGTGTACACCTGGATTGGCTTTTCCCCTTCAGTTACACGTGACTCGCTCCTCTAAGGTCTGGCAAGTGAAAATGACATCTAAATAATTTTAAAAGTGTCTCTGTCAACTGGAGCAGTAACATCAGACACAGATTTGTGTTAGGTGGCTCATACACCACTTCAAATACACACCAGTTTGGGCATTATTCAGACTACTGCAGCTCTACCTGCATACACCAGAGAGGAGACAGTGGCTCACACCACGCCAGCTAACACTGCACGAGGACAAGCCTCACCAGAAATAACACTGATGAGGAAATGACTGAAAGGCCTCTGACAATCAGTCACTTATGTGGGTGGCAGCTGCATGGGCCCAAAATGTGTTTTCCCTCAAAAGAAACTTATTATAAGTAAAATAAAAATAATAAATAACAATCAAAAATCAAAAAAGAGACCTTTAGAGTGGTTTCAGAAGCTATGTGCTCCTTCTGGTGTATCCACCAGACCCGAACAGTGGGGATGCAGGGAGACTGCAGAGATCCTCACACTTCCAAGTCAGGACCTTGCAGGAGACAGGACAGCAAGTCCCTGCAGAGGTGCCTGTGACAGGATCTGTGCTTCCACACAGGGCTAGCAAGACCTGTGACACCTCCAGGTACTAAAGCTCAGAAGCCACCATGTTAGAATTTAAGGAAGAAGAAACAGCTCCCAGCAAGGAGAAGCAGCTCTGGATCACGGGCACAGCTTGTGCACACAAGCCCCTGCAGCTGCTGCCACATCCCCTTGAAACACGGGAGCTCCCTCAGCCCACGAGCTGACTTCAGGTCGCTGAGCCAGAGGGTACCCAGAGGGTACAGGCCATCCTTTCAGACTCAAGGTCTGTCCCTCGGGCCCTGCCACTGTCACCACCTTGTGGCATGCACCTGAACTGCTTCTAAAGAAGGATTTCAGCCCATTGCCTGTCTGAACGACCATGGCCTTCAAAATGCTGGTGTGACCCACCAGGTCAGAAAAACACAAGAGAAAGCTACTAAGGAGAAGGCGTTTGTTACCTAATATTGCCTTGTATCTCTGCCTTTGCGAGGCTGGTGAGACGGCAGCAGGACAAACCTGCTACCTGAGGGGCTCCCCAGCCCAACCACAGTTTAAGGTTACTCTGGGAACCCAACGCGTATCCAACCAGTAAATCGGACCGACGCCCTCCCGCCCTCGGCAGGGGGAATGCTCGTCCTGAACGGCTGCCCACATCCTGCAGGCATGCGGCTCTCTCGGAGGACACGGAAGGTTTCTCGATTCGTTGGTTCCCCCGGCCG